GCCTCATTGGAAAATATTTTATATAATTCTAAGCCAACACTTAGCTACAATCCCACCTGATGGTAAGTGGTGATGTAGCCTAAAATGGTGAAGCGAACTGACTTAACAAAAGCCTATTCACTTTGTAATAAACGGATTTAATGCTTGTGCAAGAGCGTAGTAATCTAAATGAGACGACCGTCAACCCTATCGGTAGCGTAGTTTTTAACTTTTCAAAATTTTCTTAACGACTTTATTCCAAGCGCTTTCGTCTTGATAAATGTATCCCTTTTAAGAGCCTTGTGAAATACTCGCATTTAGAGACGATGGCAAGAGACTCGTCGGTATGACTTTTGTCCTTTACGTATTAGGTTAAGCCCTTGTGTGAGACACTACGTGCATAGACACTGGCGACTTCTTATTTCAAGAGTAGGAACCGGAGTAGTATTAGAGGTGGCTGAAATTAGTAAAGGGTGCAAACATAAATCACATAGAGACGACTGGTCGTTGCCAATTGTCTCATTGAAAGGTTTTTGCGGAGAAGTAAAAGTTTTTAAATGTTGTAAATAATGTATTTACGTTATGTTAACACACTATAAAAGAAAACTTTAATAAACCCCTTAAGTGTGTTATCAGAATCAGCAGCCAATCGTAGAGAAACATTTTTTTTTTCAGAAAAACGAAAAAAAGAAAAAAATAATTAATTTCCAAATTTAGTTTTATTTCCTTTAAATGGTTTTTTTTTTAAAAAAAAATATTTCGATATGCTTGTATACTGATTCTGATAACGCAGTTAACGGGAACCACCGGGTATTTGTTACATGTTGTATATATACTCATGTTGTATACAGACTCGTTGTCACCCTTGAGGACTAATATGCAATCCTCGATTCCAGTAAAACGGGTCTTCGGTTCTCTACACTCACCATACGAAACATAGCAGGATTAAGCTGCTATTTTACGCCGGTATTCTGTGAGCGCGTGGTCCTTCCATGGTCCCCATTCATGCTACAACCATAATATAGCTGCAGCATGGCCTTACCAGTCACCACGTGTAAAACTTAATGAAATACATGTCGATTTATTCCTTATAGATAGTCTATACATTACAATAGTTGTATTAGTTTTACCGCATCTAACGGGAATATGAAAAATTAAAAATTTAAATATGAATATAATAATAACCTAAAAACAAACTAAAAGCGATTGTCTAGTAGTTTTCACCGCTATTATAATTAGCATATATTTTATAACAAAGTAGTAAGTACATTCAGCATTCATAGGTATTTTAACATAGTGCACAGACGAACTAACATGGTGTGGAGACTTTTTTTATAATACACCAGTATACGAGTATACCGTTAGTAACATTAAATCCGTAATAGTGATTCAAAAATCATAAATTAATATCATAAAAAATAAAGTATGTTTATACCAAGTAGGGTATTAACATACCCATTTATGATTTTAAACATTAGTAAATAAATGGTAATATATATGTTTTCAGCTGGTTCATCTTCAGAAGTGAAAGAGGATTATCTTCAGATTCAATCATGATGGATGGCAAAAATATACGTGCGATACAACATAAAATACAAGAAAGTACAATAAGCAGATCATTAACATTTCGTTGCAAATATATTGTACGCTTCCCGATGAAGTTGTTCTCAAAAATCCTATAAACAACAAGGATGCCAGGTTATTAACGATACGAAGATTTGCTAGAGTAAACCCTTTGTACTCTGGACCTAACCAGTGTTTTATAGACTTGCCTACACGGCTAATTCTGACATACAACCGTCCTCGGGCGTGTATTTTCATTAATTTCTGTAGCAAACACTATTAATCACCACTTATTCCGCTCGTCTATTCTGACATGAATAGGTACAATGTCCCTATCCGTTCCATTTACACACACATACGCAAGGCGACATACGTTTGACCTCATGCAAACTAATACTAGCTAAGGCGTCCTTTTGAGCAGCCATCGTCTATATGACAACGTGGGCCAGATAACTGGCTCTCTACCCGTCATCTCACACCTAATTCAATGAACGACAGCGTCCCTTCGATCAGTTATCATCTCATATGACAACATGGACCTGATAACTAGCTTTTTCCACTAAGCACACACAAACACACAGCTCTTTGTACAGCTTTCACGGTACTATTAGCATCGATAGAAGATATACGCTTTAACAACACATACTCTCTTGTAGATATACTAACATCTTCAATCTTACAATAATCGAATCATATAACAATACCATTAGTTTTTCTCTATTACATTGTTCAATATCTTTCTAGGAATTATTACAACACAGCTATCAGTCATCTCAAGTCTTTGCATATTGAAGAATAAAATTGTTTACATTTTGCGGAATCTGCATTAACTTGATTAAAAATGTCTAAATCAAACTAGACTTGGTCGCATTTTGTCCAGATTAGGTAAACATTTTAAGAACACAACACTTTTCTTTCACTTTGTCGAACTAAACTAATTAATCGTACAAAATATAAAACTGACTGACCGGACTAGTTATGTCTATCTAGTTATGACTAAGCGACATAATAAAAAAGGGACACATGCCACTATATCCCCAAAACTCTTCGTCTCTGCATCGGAATACGTTTTCAAGCTACTGGACTGAAAAGATTACAGTATTTATATCTACGGTTTATATGTATAGCTCACATTCGATTTACCAACGATATAATCCCTGCGGCGGAATCGCAAGAATCTCCCAATGGATATGTCTTAAAATGTACGTGGACAAAACAAAGGTCATCGGTAAAGACCATTTCAAACCTATACCAGTAGGTGTTGAGAACACTAGGCTCGAAGTTGTCAACGAGTATGTTTACCCAGGACAAATAATTCAACTAGGTCCGACCAAGAGGGCAGTCGACATATTCAACACGGCTGGGCAGAGTTCGGGACATTATGACACGTCTTCTCGTCAGGTATACCTTAAAAACTTGAAAACAAGATAATACAATTTATACGTGGTAGAACCATGCTGCAATTATATTAGTAGTATAGTTGTAGCACGAATGGGTCGGCTCAACCGGTGAAGGACCACGCTCTTACAGAATACCAGCGTAAAATAGTAGCTTAATGCTGCTGTGTTTCGTATGGTGAGTGTAAAGAACCGGAGACCCTTTTTACAGAAAACGAGGCATTTCATCTTAGACCTCACGGGTGACAACGCATCTGGATTTTGATTTGTAATCGAGGGTAGATGTAGATGTCTATGGACCGCAGCAACCATTTACCATCAGGTGGATTGTGTGCTCGTTTGTCACCCTATCCTATAAAAAACACCATGTGCGTGTTGCCATTGATGAGATATGGATCTTAAACATGGTCCTTTAGTGCTGGCTGTATGAGGAAGCTCAAGATCGCTCAGCAAGTTATAAAGAGGGATGATCGATGTTTCGTGTTAGACTTAGAAATGAGGATATCTGCAGTAGAAACAGAGCAACCGACATAGTCCAACAGAATAGTAAATGGAAGTGGCCATGGTCCAGCCATATAGCTCAAAGAACCGACAAATGATGGAAAAAAAGTTTCCCGAGTGGCAACCTCGTACCCGGAAGTGGAGTGTAAGGCCAGTCCAGGTAGTTCAGGACTGTGCGTTCTTAGGGGAAGCTTATGTCCAGCTGTGGACTTGTGAAGTGCTGTAATAATGGTGATGATGAACTAAACGCTAGCTCTCTGCAGGGGTGACGAGCAGGCGAAGGGTAAGAGGGAAAGGGAAATAAACCGGCGGACGATTCAGGCAGCATCGAGTAGCATCGTCTTCGGCATTTAAGTTCGAAGTGGTCCATAATGGAGTGAGCAACGACTACAGCACTAATTTTTGTAAGCAAACCTACTCTCATTTATTTAAGTAGGTCTAGATATTTTATAGTTAGTTCTAGTATTTTATAGTAAGTTCTCCCTTCTCAATTTATAAAATGGGAGTAATGATGACTGAAAATGTCGTAGTTGTACCCGGTCTATTACCCTAATATCAGGTTTATTCGCAAGAATAGTCTTATCCTAGAAGAGCTAGACTCGGTAACTTTCGAACACGGTTTGTGACAAGTTCTAATAATAAAGCAAGAGTTAGAAAGCGCCTCAGAACAATAACTAAAGCATAGAAGTAGTACTAGATAATTAAAACGTACATTATCACAAACAAAAGAGTATTAACTAGTGATGTACCGGTACAAATAATTAATGCCGATATCGCTACTGGTATTTCTGTCTATGGTAAAATCATGAAAGCGTGGAATCATATCCTCAGATTTATAATATGTTGTCTGTGATTTTCAGAGTTTAATACCTCTACATAACTATCATCATTATTCTAAGGCGGCGCGGCGGGTTGGCCATAATTTCAGTAGCGTTCGAGGTTCTAAAAATTTTTTTTACCAATCTACTGAAAAAACATCCGAGTGCTAGTGATTCTTGGCCTCGCAACCTTAATAAAAACCACAGAGTACTTATACAAATTGGAAATAGTGAGAATATTCAATACAACAATAAAATTAAAAAAAATTATATAATTTCACACAAATTCTATATACAACACATTATAATACGAAATAAATAAATAAATTGTTGTCCTTTAAAAATAATTGTCTTATTTAAAAATGTCCTATTTTTTTCTTTAGAAGCAGAAAACTTTTTGGTAATATAGTGAATCCTAATTTTTAAAAACTCTTTGCTGATCAACTTTATAAACAATTTTTTATGATCGTCTAGTAAATCATTGTCAAACGAATGCTCGTCTAAATCACTGAATGGCAATATTATTTGCGATATTTTATTAATTACTGTTAAAAAATATTTAGGCTGTCCTAAGCCTAATTTGGAGCCTATTCTAATTTCGATCATAGATATACTACATCATCATCATTAACTTTAAAAGAATAATTAAATGCATCGACATTGCAATCCAAAATATTGCACATAGCTTTATTGGTTGAAGCGCCATCAAAAGTGAGCGACGCAACTTCAGCTCCAGAATTTTTTAGTAGTGATATACATTGCTGTACCAATAAAGATTTTTGCTGTGTGGTGATTGAGTCAATAAGATAGATAGATTTTCTAATTTAGATACACGACTAATTAATTCTTGCTGACTTGGTGTCGAGCTAAATCTAACTGTAGTAGTTAATTTTACACTAGAATCAGATGTGCTGGTTGATGTTTCACCGGATGGTGTAGGTGCAATTTTCGTTATTGCACCGGATGTTAATGCGATATTCTTTTCAGACACACTGGATGTTGATGCAGTCGCCAGTGTAGATGCAGGGCTGCTATATTTCTAGAACAATTTAGTTATTTTATGTTATTTTTGCATCAAAGGAAATGTATGAATTAAACGAAATAAACAATGGGGGAAATAATAATAAACAATTTTTAATATTAAGGGTAAGATACTTAATGTCAACAGTCAAAATATCAACATAAAAATATCAACACCGTGTAATCAGCAATTTAATTTTTAAACAAATCAAAACAACAGTGATGTACAACATAAACAGGTTTATTGTAAAAAGGATATTACTGTATAATGTTTGCTATTGCGAAGATGTAGTGAAGGTATAGCATTTAATTTCGACCTGCGCCATTTGTGTGCAAAATTTATAAAGCAATCATTTCAAATACCTGGAACAAATACGGTAGTGCTTTTTCCACTCCTATTTGCGACGTGCAATATCGTCGATCCATTTTTGTCTTAAATTAAAGTCCGTGGGAATACTGTAATTTAATCGTAAAACTATCGATAATATATGCTAGAGATATATTTTCCAACACTATTGCCAAAATTTTAACTAAAATTTTTAAACTACAAATATTAAATTTTATTACTCCGAAATACGTAAAAAACTTAATTTGTTAAAAGATTATTCTAATTTAAAGTAAAAATGACAAAAAACGTGAATTTCTATTAATTAAAAATGCTCGTAAATTGTGTATCAAATGTTGACATAATGACTTATCGGTGAAAGCTAATGTTTTCGGAGACGTTTTCTTTCCTGGAGAAATGGGATTTACATCCCACTATAATGCAGGACATTGTTCTTTTTATTAATTTTTCGATTCACACTTTCACACTGCGAAATAATTATAATTTACAAGCCAAATCTCAATTTTAACACAGTTTGACAACCTGAAGACAAGCCAGCATATTATACGAACAATTTGAGATGAACATAGCTATAGACAAAAAACTTTTTTAAATCTTTCTTTTTAAATTAGTAGCACAAGGGTAACCAAGGTATCCAAACTGACGTTTGCTGAATGTACATTGGTACCTATTGACAAACTTTTATTTATCTCTTTCTGACATACTTTGAAAAAAAGAGATGTATGTATAGCTGTTATACAGGCTCCTTCTATGCTTTAGTTATTGTTTTGAGGAAAGCGCCGAACTACCGGTGATGACAGCTAAGTAACATGACATCATGACAGCTATATATATAGTCGTTAGTCTTATTAACCTGGTCCTGTATCGCATAGATAAAACTTCGGTTCTCACAAAGTGTCACCGAAACGTAGCCAGTAAAGAGAGGTGATTTTATCTACGAAGGGACTCAACTTCTCCTTACACTCGGTCTCCCAGTCAAAAAGCAATTGTACTACAGGGTCTTTTTTTTTCTTAGCATTAGCATTTTAATTTCTCGTTAGCTAAAAATACAAAAGTCATTCCTTTATCATACGTAATGACGTCCGTATCGAATGGGTCATCCGATCTTATCAGAAAGTTATTACAAAGTCTGCACAGTTCACATTTATGAATAATGAGGACGCTTAGAAAGCGACGCCCACCATGTTTCCGCGGCTATTACCGGTGGTTTCGGTTGATGCATCCTTTAGGACGACATAACAGTTGGAACTTTTCTATGTAGGTAGTTAAGTTCAACAGGCGTTTACCTGAGTATTTCAAAGGTATAAATGAGATCGAGCATCACCCAACCATTATACGCGCCTGCCTTATTTACGCCCGACAAAATGCTTTTAAGCACTTACGTCAAGCGTGAAAAAAAGAACTCATTATTTCATGTCTCCTTTATCGATACCTATTTTTGTGACACACCTATATATCGTAACAATAAAAACGTACACATAATGTTTTATTATACCACCTTAAAATTGTTTTATTATTTGTAACTCATTAATGTAAGCACATAGTTTTTATATTTCTAATGTAACTATAACTTTTTTACTGGATGTTTTCCGAACTGTAAGTAGAATATTCCGGATCGTTGGTAGATTTTGACGGACGTGACAAAAGAACTGAAAATAAGCTTAAATTGATTACATTTAACTTTAACTGTTACGTCTATAGTTACTTCAAATCTCTCTTTCACACACACACACACACATACATGCACGCACGCACGCACGCACGCACGCACGCACGCACGCACGAACGCACGCACGCACGCACGCACGCACGCACGCACGCACGCACACACGCACACACGCACGCACGCACGCACGCACTCACGCACGCACGCACGCACGCACGCTCGCACACACACACACATTGCTCATTGTATTCGTATAGTCAGACAGTTGTGTAATATTATTTTTTTATCTCTGCTTATTGTCTGTTTCTTTTTTGTTTAAACTTATTTTTAAAATAACTTTGATATATTAATGCCCTATATAATTAGTATTATTAGATTGTCAACTATCACAAGCTATAGTATGTATATGTATATAAAGTAAGAATATGTTATTGGTATTATGGATTATTTGAGAACTTCTGTTAATATTTATAACGTGCTGCTGGTTCTATGATCAATAAAGAAAAAAATATATACAAAATACAGTTAGCTAGTTAAAGTAAAATTTTATAATATAACTTTAGTAAAGTTAAAGTTTTAGTAAATCTACGCAAATAAATGTATGGTGTATATTGTTTTAAATTATGTTGCAGTTATGATTACTTTAGTAATTTGGTATTCGTTTATTTGTGTGGGCAGACGATTTTACTAATGCAATACGAAAAAAAATTAATTGAGCATTATTTTAAAACAAACAATGGGCTTACAGTTTATTCGTTTGTTTTAATCGCTAATAACAGTTTCTACAAGGGCGTATCAACCTGTTTTTATGGGATACAATTCAACTTTTCATGCATAATATTTAATTAATGTTTTACTGTTTATGACATGGTAGTAAAATATAATAGAAAATAAAGCCAGTAATACTAATGACTCTTTAAAATCAATATATTAGTATATTACACGTTCTATTAGCAAGCGCTTACAGGCCAGAACAATTCATTTACACATAGTTCAGTCTACGGGCTAATTGCCAACAGCCATGTTCAATAGTTAATTTTAAATGATTCAAGAAGTGTGATTGATTTATTTTTTTAAATAATAGTACTTATTCAAGCGTAATACGATTTGCTTAATATCCGTTACACATTTGTTAATTTATTAATAGTTGGAAAAGCCTTACTTGAAAATACTTGGAAAAATCATTTAAGTATTTCTTTTCTAAATCTAGCTATTAAGAGAATTTTTTTGGAATTCTTATTCAAAATTCTTATTCTTATTCAACTTCATATATATGTTTTATAACTTCCTAACTGTGGTAGTAGTTCTTAGGATGGATTTTACGTAGTCATAACGCTTGGTAGGTGGATTGACGATGACTGTACCAGATGTCTCGCACCTCCTTGTTACACCTTGTTAATGGTCTTGGTAATTTAAATTTTGCATATAGGAGATGTCAAAGCGCAATCTAATAAATATCATTAAATTTTGGCTTTTTAAAGTGACAAAAAGGATTTTCTTTTATCGTCATTAAAGTAGGGCCAACGAATCGATTTAGATCGTCATCATTCTTTATTTGGTTCTGTTGTACTTACTGAGCAAACGGGCATGCGGCTCTCCTGATGACCACCGACTCACCTGACTGTCGCCGCCCATGAAAGATAGCAATACCAAGGGAATTTCAGGTGCATTGTTGAGCTTTTAAAAATGAAAATTCTTTATTCCTGAATATCCCTAAGTCCTAAATCGTGGTGATCCGGAAAACGCTGGTGGTAGCGAAAACCACAAATAAGTCATGCAAAGGAGAAAACTTAGGTCTTAAACGATTCAGGCTACTCATCGCCGGATGCGGTCAAGTGGAAAATTCTGGCACTGGGGTGAACCTGGTAAACACGCATTTCTGTGTCTTTTGAGGAATTGAACTAGATTTTATTTAGTCGCCCCCAGTAAGAGACTGTTCAACAAAGATTCGACATAAGACACAAGTATGTGCCGGCACTCGACGGCCAGTTCCCGAGAAATATTGACACCGTCTGTGTAAAAATAATCACCAGTGCCGTCTTTTAATATCTTGCTTGCGTTTGAATGTCTCAGATTGAAACATATTATTGATAGTGAAACGTTCGCTCTCTATATAGGCTTCTGTTGCTGATAATAATGTAATAAATATAGAAATTCATGTGACCAAGCTAATGTATATTGATCTTTCCAAAGGATTAGGTCGTTTGTTATAATTATTTCATGACGTGATTATCTTGGACAGGATCTTTTTTACGTTGTCTTAATTTAGTGACTTATTTATGTTAGGTGTATGTTTCTCAGAAGAACGGATATTTACTAGAGCAATTGAAAGCCGTTGGCAATCTGAATGACTATCTGAATTGCCGGTGGTGTGTCATTGATAGTCTTATTTATGTATTTTATTTCTAATGTCTTATTCGTGATAATAATTTATCGAGCAAAAGACTTAGAAATCATAAACTGATAACCAATTACAGCGACTAGAACATTGTTGAACAATTAAACAATAATGTCGAACACAACTTGGCACCAATTGAAAACACGCAATTTAGCCGCGTTTATATATTTTTTGGCAGTTAAAACAACATCGAATTGGGACACTTTGAGGTCAATTAGAGTTATAAGATACTAGCAACCCACCCAGGATTTGCACGGGTGCAATTTAAATTATGTGGATCTATTATGTTTAAAAACACTATTCGATCGATTTAGATTTAGTTTGTGGCTTTTTATTGTTAAGATCGTTACGATAAGTGCGCTATGCAATAAAATAGTATATTTATTTTACAATGTTTATTTATTATTATATTTAATCACATGGCTCTCAATTAGAAACGTGAATAATATAAAAATACGTTAACGTTCGTTGGTTTTAGTTGTAACTTACAAATTTGTTCCACGGCTTACAGATTTAACAACAGTGGGTAATTTTGTCTGTTAATGTTAAAGTTTTATCATTACTGTCAGTTATTACAGTATGTTTTATATACAACGTCTACAGCTAACTTTACACATAGCAAATAGAATATGTCTGGAAATGACGCAAAGTGGCTACAAATAGCTGTTCATGAGAAAAACGCTCAACGCTCAGGTCTAAGGCCGTATCGTTGAATGTTTGTCTTAGTGATTTATTGATCATCATTTAAAAATTTAAATTTTATAGAAAATTACAGTAGTTTAATTGTAAATGTCTGTTGGTATTACTGGATTCCGGGGACTTAACCACTTCCGGGACTTCTCCAGTTGCACAGTCAGTATTGTGCACTCTACTATGAATGATTTTAAACCCACATTTTGTAATGTACACAATTGCAGGTAAAGTCTTTATGTTAATTTCATATCCTTGATAACATACGTGACACGCTACTTTGAAAAACAATTTATTTGGTGGCATTCCAAAAAGCTGCAAGTAAT